ATTTTGACTGCTTGAACAACTAATTTGAAGTGTTTTAAATCTTCAAACTAAAGTGTAATTAGCACTTTAGGATTGAGAACTCTGTTCATTAGATTTCATGTTTACAGGTGTTTAGAATTTGATTTTCCGGCACTTCATCAATCGATTCGAGCTGTTGGTAACTTAACGTTAATAAATTACATACTACACCTATCATCGCTGTATCCTACCTATCCATTCTTGATACCAAGCCTAGTGTGTTTATACACCATTATGATGATGTTTTATTAATGTGAATCTAATATTCATGTGCTGTTATAAAACAAATTGAAACTAAACATTACATTCTTGTTATCATCACTGCATTAAAGAACAAACATTTACAAAATAAATAGCTGTCCAATACTATCTGAGACGTACAGGTAAAGCGATTTAGATAGATAAAAGAAATTCATAAAGTGAAAATGCACAAAGTTTGCTCAGAATGATCAATAAGAAGGGATATTGCCGATATTAAGAATTAATATTAGCCTTTATTGCTGGATAAACATGTCATTGAAATCTGTTTACAAATATAAAAGGCTGAATTTGTGTTTCTTTCTGATGGTGAAGTTGGTATTGAAGTTAGCACTTTCTTACATAATTTCTAAAAAACAATGAACTAAAAAGTGATTGATCTATTTCTGACAACATTTTGTGTTTAATTTATCGGCTTTCACAATAGGTTTCATCTGTATAAAATGTCAAGTATTCTGTAATTGATGACTTGATTTAGGTAGCTGCATAAATTTGTGATTAATTTCTCTTTTAACCAATTAATCTGATACGAAACAAACCTTAAGGTTAAAGTTTCCATTAAGACTTCCTCCTTAAACAGCCATTTGTCAACCAAAAATGATGATCTGCATACCATGTAGGCTTGATAAATGGAAGAGAATGTGCCAATAAGCAGAAGCCACATTCAGGTCTTGATCTCCACACATAAACATCTCTGTGACCATGCCATGCAAAATATTGATTATAAGGTGACAATTTTTATTCAAGTTATTTAAATACTTTGAAAGGTTAAATGGTGGTTTGAACTTATCGACATAAATAAATGCATGAGGGGGTGAAATTCTCGAATGCTCTTCTACTGATGCTCCCATTACAATCGGTACTATATTGTATCTATACAATGAGATACAAAACATAGGGTAAAATGATGAATTTAGGTTCTGTAAAATATAGGTATAAATCATTCGCACTACCCTCATGTACACCGAAAAGTACACTGAAATAAAATATCAATTATTCACACTAACAATGGACTAAGTAATTTTAGGTTCAGAAATGGATTCCAGTAAAGTGAAAGCATGATCCTGATATTGATCAGTAAACTAATCGACTGATCATCTATTTATATGTTTTACCTCATTTTGTTAGCACAGATATGGAACCAACATCTAATTAGACATTCCATGACATTTTGACATTAAAGTGTGGACCGAAAGTATTTGGTTTCAAATGTCTGTCCAGAATTACTGGAGTATGGAGAACAGTGAAGTGAATGATAATGAGATCAAAGTTAAGGTACTAGTTTTAAAGAAACAAGTTCATTGATGCATTCGTATGTGTCCATCGATGAAGATGGTTAGGAGATGGGCTACTCAAGCCTAACAGTCGCCTACTCAGATGTATAGTGTCAGCCGATTTTTGGGGGAATGTGGCGGTGGGAAAATTGAGACATAACATCACTCTCTAAATTTTTCAACCATGGGTCTGAGTCATGTCGAAAGTTCAGACTTTCTGTTTGAAACCTGCATAATGCATGTAATTGATCAGAGATGTTGGACGACATAGCTCATAATTGGGAACAGTGGGTCAGACGAGTTAGTTCTCTACCTTTCTCTAGATATGTTAGGTCCCGATAAACATAACGAATGGTAACTTTGGGATCCTTTTATGGACCAATGCTAAACGTATATTTTTACCGTGTAATTGTTAAATAAATAAAATATTCATAATAATATTCCTTTTATTATAAACTTTATTTTGACTTATGAACCATTATTATACGTTTTACCATTCTTGAAATATGCTCTGTCTATTAGTCACTGCCTCCCATATTCACAGCCATATTCGGCCAAAATTTTGTACAGATGTTATTTTCGACTTTGTGCTATGTTGTGGTCTGTTTGATTGGTGTATAAACTCAGGATGTTTGAAATATAAGGATTCATATTGCGGAGACTGAGACTGGTGTTCTAGACTTAACTGGCTGGGCTAGACAGGAAGCGGGACTAATCAGAACTCTAGGCTGCTCGCACGTGTTTTACGCGTCCTTGGTCCGGTCGATAATTCGTTGCTTCTGATTGGCGGTTTTTGGCCATAACAAGATATTCCTGATTTTTCATTATTTGATTTCGTTTGTCCCTTTTGAACTGTATTTTTTGTATTCAGACTCCAACTGCTTTTAATATGATTTCTTATTGAGGAATTCTTGTCTTGCTGATTTTCTGTCATTATGTTGGCATGTAGGCTTGTAACGTGTATCGATGCACGCTCATGACATGCCCTATGTTGATAATGGGTGACTAATAAAAACTTGTCAATGTAATGTATTGAGTTAGCTATGTAGTTCAAATCAGCTGTACTTGTACAATGTTTTCAGTTGTTATTTAGACTTTATTACCAATTAAATCTACGTAGAGTATTAAAGACACTACTGAGAGCACATATCGTATATTTCTTAGAATTTAGTACAACTCATATACCGAGTTCATATGGATGTATTAGGTTGGAAGTCGTAAAGTTTGTGTGAGGGCGAAAGATACTCCACGACTGCCTACTCCAAGGCGGGTGGAATAGAGGCCGAGTGCTAACGGTCATTGGACAACTACCTCACTTATTACAGAGTATTTTCGGTAGCAATATTATACTATTCACATCTTTTCCAAGCCCCAACGTAGGGAGCCTCACCTTTCGCTTCATCAAAAATTATCATTGACGGGAAAATATCAATCAAGTCAGTACACTGGAGATCTTGTATACCTCGCCTGCCATCAGAGTTGAAACATAACCATATGGCGGAAGGAAGGAACATCAAAAAATGTCGCCTTAAACCTCATGACCAAATAAATCTCTCGTCACAATATAAGTGGGAATATTATTCGTATTTATATATATGATTAGCGAACAGCGTATCATATTTCATTAAACCAACTGAAGGCTTTAATCGATTCCGGTATTGTTTGAAATGGCCCCGTGAAACAACTAGTCGATTTATTTATGTCACCTCCGATTATGTACACTGAACTTTTCAATGCTTTAATAATATTCACCGATAAGAATTTAACGCAAGATAAATATTATTGAAACTTACAAGAAACTATTATGGAAGAACTCCTCTGTTACACAATCCTTAAATAATTTATTTTCAAAAGCTAAGCAGAATTTATATTGTTCACTGAACGTTTTAAGACAATTTGAGTAATAATAACCTCCACAACCGCCATACATATCAACCTAAAAGTTCTGAAACAAGATCTAGGTTGAATCAAAGCATATTCTATCAAAAATCTACCTTTGTTTGTTCAATTCATCAAATAGCTACCACATTAACTATTTAGTAACACGATCAGATTTAAGTACTAATAGTATGATATAACTAAGTAAGGAGTGCTCATATATCACTGCCAGCCGTCGTAGATGAAGTCATTCATAGTTTTGATAACTCAATGGTAACCCTTATAAATGTGACATTAGTTACGCACATCTGATTTCCAAGGAAAATATCAATATTTTTGAGATTCCAAGCAAACCTTCTTAATCGGTGCCAATTACAATACAATTACACTTGAGGCTTTTGGCCTATTTAATTTTCCATACACCTCTTTCTAAACCATCATTGTAAGCTTACGCTTGGTGATTTCAAGCTCCTTGACCTTTAAAAATCCTAGATGAACGAATCCATCACGACTCGGTGAGCGAAGTATCACATTCAATGTGACCTTCTTTGTTCTGAAGAATGATTGAATGCTTCTGTAATCATTTAATACTTATCTTGTAAGTGTTGTTCATGCTCTTTTTAGAAAGCATCAAAGCGACTTCCTGAGTGTGCGGGGCATTTCACCTTTCCTGACCGGAATACAACAGTACCACTCCGGAATCTAGTCCTTGCTATCCAGCTTGGGTCCGATGGGTTTCGCTGATTATTAGTACTGTCAAGTTCTATCTCCTCATTTCTGTAGCTATTTGACTAGTACTCCCGGTCTCCAACATTTTTCGGACGTTCCATGTGCCTATGTTAATTGTTGCTCTGGTTGTTAGAAAGGGCATCGCCCTCGTGACGTCGAAAGAATCTCGGTTTTCATCAGGAGGCGTCATAATTCTTCCCTGAACTCCCATGGCAGAGTTTTAATTGTTTAATTTTTTCAGTATTGTTGGCGTGTTTTTTTGGTCAGATCGTTTTGTGCGGGATGGGGTTGGTGAATCCAAGCTCAACCCGGACTTGAGACCAGCAGTAGCCCTTGAAGAGCCACGGAAAGAGGCATACATCAAAACTGCCTTGCCACATTTAGGACACGACTCGGACAAACAGTCATTCTCCCGTTTAGTCTCGACAAATTTGACAGTTTGAATAACATTCACATATGAAGTGGTTTAACAACGCTGACATCATAGTCTTTACAAAGGAAATTATCTCAAAGCAAGTTAGAAAAAGAGACAATGATAGCTGATTCAAAATTTTTATTCCATCGTATGGTTAGCTAACGTGATTTGTGACTTTCAAGTTGATTAGTTATCAGTCGAGGTGCGTTTCAGGACGAGTTACAACATCATTCGACGGGGATGCTTGTTCAAATGCATTCGGTGGAATGTCGAGTACAACTAACAAGATTAACCTGATGGTCAAATGATTTCGAGCTATTTATGAAAAGGAATTGTTTACCGTTATATATTTGAACGTTGTTGAATATGGCCCAATATTTGCCCTTGAGATTGGGGTTCGTTATCATTTTCCAAATGTAGCGTTACAAATGTTCAGCGATCTCCCTGTTGAATTACTGCAATGTATTTTTATGTTACTCTCTCCTTGTACTGATTTACTCACAGTACTCAATGTCTGCAGACGGTGGAGAGAGGTTGGTCAGAGCGTCTTCAAGCTGCGTGAAAGTCTTAGTCTATCTGCATTTAAAATGCAGAGGCCATTGCAATGGGTATCTCCACAGTTAGCTACCTGTACAGAACGTCTCAAACACACATCTCCATCCAAGAGGTTTGGAGCAACCATCATATTGAAGGGGCAGTTACTGTATGTTTTTGGTGGTGCTACGAAGGAACTAACAGCTTTTAATGATTTATGGACCTATGATTTATCCACCTTCAGCTGGCAGCGTCTGATTGGTAAAGGTCAGTTAACTTTCTACTGCTGTCAAATGATATATTTGCCCATTTAAACGGCTAGTTTATTTCACATACTGTGTTCGGATTACATTTTGGATAAGGTTTCAGAGTGAGACTAACATTTATGAACGAACCAATCAGATTTGCGATGACAAATCTTGGATTTCAGTACGAAATTCTTCATCTGTTTGGCTAAATAGCATCTTGGCATTTTAGATTGTGTCAGTTCGTAATGAGACCCCTAAGTCTAATCCCTATCCCTAACCATCAACTGAAAATCATTCAAACAGGTCTAAAGCCCTCACTTCCCTAATCAGTAGGTGGATATTCTCAAGGCCACTTTAGTATCGCTCAAAAGTCGTCCATAAATTGTAGTCTTACCGATTTTGGGTCACCATTCCGAAGTTTAGTGACTTTTCATAACTTTCTTCTGGAAGTTATTAACTATAGCCGATAACACTGTTGCGGATCCAAAGAATTACTCGACGAGTTCTGTCCTCGTCACGTCTTTAACACTTCGTGGCGTGGGTGTTGTTTACGAAAATGAGAGGACGAAAAGCGAATGTCCGGTGCTTTAACCGGATTCCAAACCAATGGTGCACATGAGCTCCAGTATCCTGAAGGAACAAATGGCGTATGAACCAATTGTTGGTCACCGTTTTCTATGGGACTGCATCTCCTTACGATGCTCCACTGTCTTGTGGATCAGAACCTCAGGTCGAAGGCTCGGGGAGTGGCTCTCTAAGAAAACCACCTGCTTCGGTCTGGGCACCTTGGCAGTATCACAGCCCTAACACATATTAAATGAGATTTTTGTGGCGCGTATGTATTTGGTGCTTCCTTGTACCAATATCTATGTGTTAAAATAAACAAATAAAATAAAAATAAAAATCGAAGTAAAGATGGGAGAGTGTTTTGTTTTTTGTTGAAAGCTGCTTATTATTTATTTATACACATAGACATTGGTACAAAAGGCACCAAATACATATACGCTACACTTTGCCATTCGATTTGTGTGAGGGCTGGGATACTGCTCGAGTGCCTAAACCAAAGCAGGTGGTTTTCTTAGAGAGCCACTCCCTGAGCCTTCGACCTGAAGATCTGATCCACAAGGCAGTGGAGCATCGTAAGAAGATGCAGTCCCATAGAAGCCGGTGACCAACAATTGGTTCACACGCCATTGATTCCCTCAGGATACTGGAGCCCATGTGCACCATTGGTTTGGAATCAGGGTTTTTCAACTTCCCTGGATAGATTCACCGTATCGCTAACCCGGTTGAAGCGCCGGACATTCGCCTCACCCTCTCAATTTCGTAAAAAACACGTCACGAGAAGGCAGTGAGTGGGACTTCCCTAGCAGCGACTGTACACGCGTGGCCTGCTCTACATATAACAATGCTCACAATTATCAATGATATGCCAAAAAGAGTTAACTGTACAAACCTAAGTGTCTATCTATGAGTTAAGCAGAAAGGTAACAAACAACACTTACAATAAAAATGGTATGGCATTGGGGTTCCATTTTCAGCTATGTAATATTGGCTACTCACTTTCGAAACCTTGTACTTACATGAAAATCTTGTGTAGCAAGAGCTAATTTTCTAACTAGCCTTTTGTAATCCTCTAGAATAACGAACAGACAACGTACTGGTACATGAAGTTTCAAATTAATTGGTTCTCTAATGACTTTCGATTATCATTACCTTCCAATAAACCACAAATACATGTATTTACGTAAGTAAGTCGCGATTTAGAAGATAAATGACAAATATGTTTGCAACATTGAAACCAGTTTTGAGACATCCACTGTGAATTGTGACTAGTTCGTTGATCTAGTAACTGCATAGTCAGTTCAGATGATCAGTCAATGACTTAGTGGACTGATAACATGTCGTGATGTGGTTTGTCATATTACCGTGACGACGTAATTAACTATTTATTGTTCTAACTAGTAAGTTGACACATAGTTCATTTTGATAGGTTTGTTGTAACTAATTTCAGTTATCCGGTTCTGCCGATCCATGGGTGTTTCTAGCTGTTTACAAGTGGTGAAAGGATCTGTGATTTAATTGAATTTGCTATCGAATTAATATGTAAATGTCCACTATTTAATACGTTTTATATCCGCAATGTGATTTGATCATTTTATTAAGTTTCAAAATCTCTGTTGTTTATTTATCAGGTGAACTACCAACACCAAGAGCACATGCTAAAGGTGGTTTTATTGGAAATCTTCTTTATCTATACGGAGGTTGTCAAAGCTTTCATAGAGCGGGATCGGAACATACGGTAAGAATTACATTAGACATTTTCTCTTATGAGCGGTGGCTTATTGGCTCTCAATTAGTAAGTTTCTGGTCAAACTATGTTCCACCTACCCCGGCAGCCGAATAATATCACTAGTTCTAACGCAAAATGTGTGGCTCAATGCCGAGTCTGTTATAGTATTAGCTCATCTAACATTCACAGAAGTTAGTTTACACGAATAAGTTGTGCACTTACACATAAATAATCGTCCTTTGGTCTCTCGTAAGTCACAACTAGAATATGGATAGGTTGCTCATATAGTCTAGGTCACGTATGTCACGTCGGTAAAAATTCCCTAACAAGATGACAAGGTTTTCTCACTGGGCAATCCATACTGATTTGGTTGTATGCCTTCACCTGAAAAGAGCTGAAGTGATTGTGTTCCGTGACTTATTTCAGGAGTAACTTCCTTATCGGCAAAATGAATCCATTCCATGGTCCAGTTTGTTAGTTATTAGAACAATCTCAAAGAAGAACAGACAGATCGTGCTACTCGTTGCTAGTGTTAGTGATAAATGTATATAAAATCATCATTCCAGAAGATACAAAGAGAACACATCTAATATATGTATGCTGTTAAATTCACAATTAGAAAGTATGCTGAGACAGCTATTTGTTACTAGTAAGGACCAACACTAAACATAAAGACAGGTAGACCGTATGTTGAAAGATGTTTTAACTCTGTTCATGCTCTAATGTTAGTACGTGCTTGTTTGCCTCACTTGATGCACATAAGTTGAAACAGAAAACCTTTTAACTAGTTTTGAAAATGAGATTGTAAAGAGGATATTTAAGTAAAAATTAGACGGACTTATGAGATGGGGATAAACAGTCGTTAGTATTGCTTTTTGATATATATTTCTTGCAGTAACATTTTGGTACTTTGTCCTATGCAAGATGAGTATGAGATTCATTAACGTGTTTTTAATAAACCTACGCAATACATGTACAGTAACTCATCTGTATTGGTTATAATATTTTTTTCTTGTTCAACAAAGTACAAATTGATAGCACTCCATAAACTACTTTGTCCAAACTTCCTGAGTACCCAAAGTCTCGGGTAACACTAGTGGTTGTAACTCATTTCTTTTTAAAATTCATCTAGGGCCGTATGGATTGGTTAACTGAGTTGAATAGTTTTGATATTTCGACAATGCATTGGTCACGTATGCCGTTATACGAAGTAAACCACTTAAGTCCTGTATCACCACCTGCAATTGCCGGCCAGTCTGGATGCTTTCTCCCTAAAGGTGGAATAGGCGAACCTAGTGTATTGGTTTTATTCGGAGGAATGTGTCAATCTCTTGGATTGTGCGTTAACTACTTATTTGTGATATCGCCGGAAAATGGTTGTTGGATTTCACTTTCTGATACAACGGATAATTGTCAAGGTGACTGGCCATCTGGGCGCTGTGGTCATTCAACTTGCGCTCTTGATTCAAATAGAATGCTTTTGTTATTTGGGAATTTGGAATCACCTTTGGCCACTGGTCATTCTGTGCGTCGACAACAAGGAATGTCAGTTAATCCTACTTCGAGTAATGATTCTGAATCAACTTCTAGTACACTTAACTATCATGGTCGACCAGCGAGAGATGTATGGATACTTACACGTTGTTCACCAAGTATTGGTCAAGGTTAGTTATTGCAAACTTTACTCGATTTTATTGTCAGTCGCAATACACTAATCTTGTTTATGTTAAACCTCATTATTTGAAGACCTTCCTATCAACTTTAATACTTTTATGGGATTCAACTAATTTTTTTAAGTTTCAGTTTGTAAATGTAGTATTATGCACATATATATCATGTCCGTCATTTTCCCAACAAGCAATTATTGAACAAGTGAATTCTGATACCCATCTTGTTAATATTACAAACATGGTCTTATTATCGCTGTCATATATCTAACTGTAATCTCAAAGAAAGCTTAGATATTTTCAACACCACTTATATTGAGTTTTCACGTAAACCTTTCTCAATTCAATATAACAACTCATAATTATATCCATCAAGATATCCGAAATTAGATGTTGAATGTTTGTTCGTACTGATTGCCAGAGTACGTCGATGGTCTTTATTTACTCTCCAAGTTTTTAATCGTTATTGTCCAACACCTGTCATCTGCAACAGAGTTCGTGGTACTTTCATTAAGTTTAAATCTAAAATGATTGGTTCCAATCCAATCTTTGGGGATATGAATTTCTTCAAGGTTTCAAGCACACTTTGACCAATACCTGACGACAAAATTTATTGCTAGCTATATACTACAATTCAAGATCTTATGTACAACACGCTATTTGGTTAGTTAGCTCAGTGTTAACAGTCCATGGTTTGTTTGGTAACTTTTAATCATTTTTGAAAACTGTTTGGTGATATTCTAACCGAGTATGTAGTTAATTTAATTATCACCTTACTAATAACTCACCAGGACTTATTTATGCAATTACGAGTTTATTTGCCTGGTTGTTACGCAAGCTACTGTCTATCTACTTTGATGGAGTGCGTTGGAATTAAAATTAGTTTTCTTCGAATATTTCATCTAAAATGTGTAGATGCGAATTTCTTGTGAATATAAATTTTAAACCATCTCTGATGATTCTCGTGATGTACTCTCATGGATATTTATAATTATTCGAGTATGTATAGTTGTCTGTCATTCTTTTTTTTCAAATCACTTAAAGAACTGTGTGATTATTATACAGTGAGTACCATTTCTTTACTTGTTCGATCCTATGATTCAGTGTTTTATACATATTTATATTTCGAAATCGCGTCCACATATTTTTCTTACTAGAATGTCTAGAAACGTTTTGGTAATGTTATTCAAAATGGGTATATTTTAAAGAATGTTGCATTTTTTCGTAAATAAGATAGTTTCCTAGTATGCAGACTGCTGTATAATTCTTCAAATCATACTCTTTTTATATTCAGAATGGTTTGAAGTCGATTGGTTCTGGACCAAAGTTCAGTGTTCTGAGGGTATCCCTGGATGCCCACCGATAGACTTTTATCATGCAACCGCAGTTTCACTTCCATATCGTGAAGACAGTAAGTCACTGTTGTTGACAAAGGACAGTAATTTTATTTCTGTACCAAGTGACAACGTTGGTACAAACAACTCAATTGTACACAATGTCTATACTGTTGTTGTCATCAGTCAACCTACCACAGCATTGCTGGATGAGGCAGCTAAACAGCGCAGATATTGGCATCGCATGAAACTCAACTCCGAGTTAAACAGTGTAACTTTTCAAAATAATTCGGTAGGTCAAGATTCTCGTACGTCAGATGATGATGTCAATGACGAGGATGAGGAGCAGCGTAAACATTCTCATTCAGCTGATATCACTGGTATGAGTATTTTGGCTTTGAACTGCTTCATATATATGAATCACCAAGTAGACTTTTTATTCTATTTTTATCTTGGTAGGCATGTTGTAAAAATACGAATATCTGCCACTATAAAATTAAGTTTATAGCTACTATCTGTTACACTCCCAGCAAACTGTATGGTCCGAGATTGCGATATTGGTTTTGATGTAAGGTGAACTGGATCATATATAAAATGAGTATTCATCCTAGTGTTATCGTTCAACTCCCTACTAGTTTAGTTTAGGACGTTTTATAATTTCGTCGCTCACTGTGGCCACAGTAACCATGAAGAGTGTTTGTTGCAACAAACGGACTTATAAAGAACTGATTTTAATATGCGCGTTTCTTTATTGTTAAAATAATTGACAGAATACTGATCGATAGATGATACACAATAGTACTATATGGCCGACTGATAGCTGCTCACCTGATCGAATTATCTACGTAAACTAATATCACAAGACAAGACTATTGCCCAGAAGAATAGTTTTTTTTCTAGTTAAATGATATGTTAGTATACAAAATAATGGACATACAAGAATATGACTGAATTTCGTTGAACACGTTAGTGGTTGAAGAACCCGAGTTTTGTGGATCATTCGGCCACTAGTGAAATGAAGATTGGATTATGAGGGTTAATTCTTTTCCGTCGTGTAATGTTTACACAAATGCTTAGAGTATCAGTTTCTGAAATAGATCTAAGCTTTATACAGTTTATTTTAGTACCTATGATAGAACTGATCTATCCGCTCACTTAGACATTTACACTTTTCACGAAGATTACCGAGTGAATTTAGTACGTATGGCTTATTACTTGCAAAATTTTCATCAAAATTGTGGTTAGCGATACTGCGTAGAGTGATAATCGAGACTAAGGAATGGTTTCGTCCTGTTCAAATATTCTACCATAAATAAAAGTATATGCTTACGCTAAATAGATAGCTTTTATTTTATTGAAATAATGGAGGTTTGTCACTCGTATGCATACTTTTACTTATTTGGATAAAGTAAAAACAAAGACCACTACAAATTAATATGAATTCACTTATTTCTACCACAATCTTCGTTCTTACCGTATTCAAATTGATAAACAGAAAAAAACTATGTTACTTCGGGTTGTGTGGGCTGAATGTTTTTTAGTTCTGTCCTATAAGTTACTCTAATTATGCATTCAAGATAATGAATTTGTATCGTACTCGTAACTATTACACTTTCTAAATATCTTCAATAGTAGTGTTCCTGCCATTCAAAGTAATGTATATAATTTTCTTTAGATAGGAATAACTCGTAGCTAATATAACGAATCACATTTTTCGGTTGTATTTTTTGTATGGTTATTAAAAATATATTAATCAACTGTTTGTTTTATCACTTTCATTAGCATTTGAAACAACTAGACCTATATTCTCATTACAGTTTATAATTTAATATTTCTTCTATAGATCGTGAATCGACTGGGATTTTGCAACTTCCGTCATCTAGGCGTGCAAATAACAGACGTGCACGAAGACTTGAAGCTTTAGCTATTCAAGAACGAAAGCTGTTTGGAACACGTAATCTGATCCCTAATGAAGTTAATACATCATCATTTGCTCGATCATTTTCATCAAATCAAAGTTCATCCAATCATAACCAGTATCCTTCTAATCACGTAAAACTTGAATGTACTTATCGTCCCTTGGCTCTGTATACACTCAACATTATATACTCTCATTCTGATGCATATAGTTCTGAAACTAAAATCCACTTCACAGAAAATAAAGCTAAAGGTATTTGGTTGGCACCTGTCAAACAAAATTATCTAGATCTTTATTCCGCACCACCTGAATGCTTAGGTTTTTCATGTGCTTTTGGTCATGGCTGTTTATTTCTTTTTGGTGGTTTGACTGACTCAGATGATATTAGACCAAATGAAAATGTGAATACATTTCACCCATTAGTTAATGGATCGCAAAATCGTAATGATAATGATCTATATCAACGACACAATAATTCATCAACCTTACAATCGTCCAGGTCTTCAGTATTAAATGAATCTCTTACACAAGGACATCTTGTTTCTTGTGTAAATCATTCACCAGATACAATTTATCCCAATCCTTTAGGTACCGCTCAGTTTTTCGTTCTTCGTGCACGTGCACTCGCTGGCACTATAATTTAATTTGGCCATTGTTTATTTCGATTGATCCAGGATATTTGCATGTAAACATGTGGTATATTTATATATATAGGGTCCACTAACCAATTATATAGTTATTTTTTTGTGTTTAAATTATTCCAGCTTTATGTATTGTAGTACAATGAGTTACTTAGTTTTCTAAATGTGTATTGGCTCATAAAATGTACATAAACTATTCAGTGGTTGTAAATATATTGCTATTCTTTACATAAAGCTACGTTGTATTTAACATGCACATGCACAAACTTCTCATCAACTAAGAATTATTACATCAATTACACTTTGGTTTTACTGTGGTCTACTTTTCATTCAGATTTTATTTTCTACCAAAAGTTGTAAATTTTAACTAGCCATAGTTGTTTTGTTTTTCTTGATACCCATTGTTTTGCTGCTCTGGAAATCTCAAGCTTCTATTGATATCAATGGATACTGTTAATGTAGTATAATAAACCGAAGATTCTCTTAGTGATATTTCATGTACTACCGTAAAATATAAGTTTACAAAGTGTTCTATAGTATTTTAATCGATAAGCTTAAATTGGTTACTTGCAGCAAAATGATTTAAATTTAGTAAATATAGATAGCTAATTAGATTGCTATTATGCTGATATCCATTGAGCCTCTACAAAATCGCGTAGATTTTTTCTAAAAACATGGTGTTTTGGTTATGATGATTATTCTTATGAGACATTTAATATATTTGTATACGTCAGATCATAATTAGTACTTTTCATGGTATGGTTTCATAAGAGTATTTGGTACTCTGTTTTCATCAATATTCACTTGTGATACTTAGAAAAGCATCTTACTGTCAGCTTTTTCTTGAGTATTAAGTTTCTTCAGCTGATGTTTTACACTTGAATAAGGATTTCCTTAAGAAACTAACTGTTCAACAACCACATAATATCCACTCACGAAGGTTAATTCATGACTGTTTAGAATGATGATTGATATAGGTTCTGAGGGAATTTCGAAAATTATCAGACAAAATATTTCCATTTTAAGGGATTTCGATTATAGATTTATTGGTATTGCTTATACCTATACTACCTTGGTGTTCATTCATGTTTTGCATGACGATTGTGCACTCATGTATAGATAAAATCCGTAAACCTGATCAGTTTAGACAAGTCTTCTGTAATATACTCTACGGTTGATTAATTACAGTCCTAAACATCAATGTGAAGATTCAGATGAATCAAACTTCACTCCATTGCTCAATCCATTGACCATCTGGACTCAGTAGCTAAGCGGATAACGCGTTGTAGTTTGAACCGAACGGTATTGGGTTAGAGTCCCTGGGTGAACATCAACTTTGGGGTGCAGGTACGTCCAGCAGACGAGTCCCAAGTAAGACGAAGCGCCCTCCAGGATTCTGCTGCTAGCTATGATAATCTCTGCTTATAATGCCTGTGACTAAGGGCAATATCGAGGCATTTCGCACATATGCCAATAAGGGATTGATCAATTGCAGTCCTAAACATCAATGGGGAGTTCTAAACAACCAATACAAAAAAGTATTATTTGTTTAGCACCTTAAAATGTTAAGGAATCAACATAACTTGTGATGATCATGAGCAATTCTAGGTCTCCATATATACAACATAAACACTTTACAATTCCTCGAGTTCGAACTACGAAATCTTTAACTTTTGCAGTGCAATTCATAAGATTATCACACCTCTCCGTTAAGTGCGATTAGTGCCGTCGTATGGGGACACGTTTCAACAGTTTGTGATATCAAAAATGAAGGCATGAACTTCTATTCCGACTCGGTTGATTTCATGGGTTACTGTTTCTAACACAATTTACTAGTAGTATCTGGTTTACTAATAGATTTCTCAAATAAATATGAGGGCGTTGTGGAGGGTAGCTATGATCTGTAGTCACATAAATCGACACAGATTACCCGCTAATGGCATTGTGGTATTCAAGCTATGTTAAGAACTGGTAAGTGGGCGGTTGGATTTGGTGCTCAAGTGTCGACATTTTTAATTTGAAGTTATGGACGTTCTTGGTCACATTAAATGCGACGTCAGTGTCGAAAACCTAGGAAAAATCAATTTAACCTTAAATCTGCCGTGAATTTAAGGACAAAAACCCCATATTAAATATGTGTCATGAAGATTATAATTTCTCACCTCTGTAGTAAATGTCTTGAACAGGTTATAGACACGTAGGAATTGACAACACTACTGTTCGCAATCTCTTATAAAAAGATCCCAAAGCCAATAAAATCAGGAGTAAGGAATTACAGGATGCGGACGTATATCCGGATTACAGATCGATGTACCGCACAGTTAACGATTCCAAACTGACTAGTTGTAGATGCTTATCACGGCGCACCCAAACGTGATTCGGTGCGGATGATTGACCGAATGCCTTTAGCTAGAGGTGAGTCCAATAAAACTGGTAAGACCAACACATGTCACAGAGCTACTTATTTAGAGGATTTATTTACCGTTACAGCTTGATATCTACTAAGCGTCTTGTCCATTAGTGTCTATCTTAAACTTGGTTGTTTTAGTGAGATCTTTAAGGCTGATCGTACAATTTTTCAGGGTTGTTAAGTTAATGTTAGTCAGGAAAGACAAGTTTTTTCCTAAATTATTCCCATTATATATTTATACATTTATATACTATGATTAGGATAGAGTAAACGTACTGGTTCTAAGCAGACGTAGGAAACTGGTATGTAAAATTCGAAGTAGTTCTAAAAAGTTAGGTACAGTTTATTCTGGGAAGTAAATATGAAAAATTCTGATAGCATTTGTTTCTAAATTCTTTACATATTAATAGCATAAGGATAAATCTACATCTGCAGAAGACAGGTGAGAAGTTTTGAGTTCGAAATAATTAAATAGTGAGCAACAATTAATAACATGAAGTTCAGCAAAGGGATCTCCAATTTTAGCAGTCAGTCAGTCAGCTACGACGTAGGACCAGGCACATATATGCATCGGTTCAAGTTGCCACACCTCATTAACACAACAAGATGGACACGGGATTCATAAAAGTAGTTAATTAAGAGATGGTAATATATAAAAGAAAGATTGCAATAAGGATATAGTACAGGAAGAAAGAATTAGTTCGTAGAAAGAAAGATATGAAGCGATTTTAATCTCTTAGTTTAAGAGAAGACAGAGAGTGTATATATCTACGCCATTGTGATGGATTCCGAGCCATGTCACCAAGTCTCCAACCATTGGTTACGCGGACCCCAACCAAGTAGTCTGCATCTACCAACATGGCTCAGACTAGAAGTTAGTGACTTCAAGCACTGATGCCACGTTTTGGTATGGCCGCCCCAAACTTTCTTCCAACCATCTCCAACACCGGTTAGCATTGCACGTCGTGGCAATCGGTGTTTAGGCATACGTACCACGTGGCCCAACCATCTCAGTCGATGAAAATTCACAACCTCATCAACTGATTTACCATCATTTCCTAATACCCCGCATCTAACCTCACTATTACTTACCCAATTTTAGCAGAGTGTTTCATGGCAAAATAGGAAAACGACCAGCTCATTTCAATGATTATTCGATTTCATCTATACGTAAGATACATGGACGACAAATTTGTCGTCTGTGACGATAATATTGAATTAGAAGACATCTTAAACTCCTTCAACAAATGCCACCCTTCCATAGACTTTACATTAGAAAGTGAGCGAGACCAGTCAATCTCTTTTCTCGTTGTGCGTCTAATAAGGACTAACGGTTCCTTAAAAAGATCCATATTTAGAAAAGAAACATGAAATGACCAGCTGACAAACTTCTATAACTGGGTTCTTTAAGCAGAAAGAGAAATATCATTCACTTTTTATGTCATCGAATCCATCGGATATGTAGTACCCATTGCATTGACGAAGAACTCGCATTCCTCAGAGAAATTGACGAAAAATGGCTATCCAGACCGCCTCATAGATAAAAATATGAAAAGAAGTAGTTGTGACAAAAAATATGGTTGTTCCGTTACAAAGAAAAACCCCTACATAAGTTTGGAATTTAAAGGTGATCGAGTTTCTGATGTAATAAAAAATCGTTTAACGATAGCGAATGAAAGAACGTTCAATGCGGTAAAACTGCGAAAAACCTCCAGTAGCAGGAACTTATTTTCTGTATCCATAAAAGATAACCTTCTGTTATAACTCTCTCTTTCTTACGGTTATGACCCAGCTATCCATATTGCTTAGTATTCTCGGACACCGATTCACTCGACAAGTCCCCAAATCAAAACACGGTTGAACAGGAAGAGATTATATCCCAAATAACAAGGTTAGATGGAAGTAAGAAGCAAGTCAGAAGCACAATAGGGAAAACGTCAGTATATTTATAGTTTTTTACATAAGAAGATTCCAGAGTATTCTCCAACTATCGACTAGTGCTGATTGGATAAGAACTAGCCAATCAGCGTGCACCAAAGCAATCATGCATTGAGCATGCTTTAATCTAGTCTATGTCCCGCTAACACCTTCCCCGTCTGGTCGCCTCCACGTGCATTTACCAGTTCACCTGCTCTTGTGGAGCAAGGTACATTGGCCGTAGCCAGCGATAGCTTCCAGTTCAGATACGGAAACACGTCCCAGTTTGCTTCTACAAGGGCGAGAGGAAGGCAGTCAGGAGTTCTATACTTGAACACCTAATCGAAGTATATAAAGCTATGCACGTGAACCGCTTGTCGCGTAAAGCTGACCCCTCCGGATTTTATCGATTTTGTTTGTATCTACTGACTCATGTACTTTGCTAAGATCCTTCAGAAGAATTTTCTATGTATTGCACCAAGGTTTATCTATTTAGCTAATGTACGAAAAAATCATCGCTGAAAGAAACAATTATATATATATATATATATATATATATATATATATATATATATATATATATATATATATATATATATATATATATATATATATATATATATATATATATGATTCTGTGAGTTTGAGTTACAGAGTCATGACGTTAAAGAAACAT